CCGATGGACATTGTGGCCTTGTCAGTGAGTGCAGTTAGTGACAGTGTGGGCTCCATGGTAGCTCTGACAGCTTGACGGAGCAGCAGTTCAGGGCGTGGCTTAGCAAAGGGTCAATTATTTGATATGTTCCATCTTGTACTGGCTAGATTATCAATATGAGACATATCAATATGTTATAAATGTTTTTCCTCAGTTCAAAACTTGAACTACACTTATCTAACTAAGTAACCATATCTTCACCAACAGGAGGCTGAGGAGAGCTGGAAAATTCACCGTCAATAGATTGAGCTTTAACCAGCCACTGGTTGTCAAGAGCAGCAAGAAAGTTATGGTGCTGCTTCTCAGCAATAACAGGCCATATGACCCTTTTCTGATAACGCTGACCCCTACCTGCAAGCATGCCACCAATTGGGCTGTGGAGACAGTGGATGGACTTCAAAACACTATTGCTATTCTATCGGAGAGGGAGGGGGCCCGCAGTGTGACGGTGTGTATGAGGAAGGGACACTGCCAGTCACCTAGGTGGAGCAACGTCCTGTCAGACGAGAAGTGGGTGTGGTCCAACATTCCAGTGGGGAAAATGCAGACTCATGTGACTGTGAGAGGGGACGCCCGTATGGCAGTCTACGCCTATGGCGGGGATAACCGCCATGGATATGGCATTGCTGGAGTTAGTTCTACAGGTACACACACATTTAGATCCCTTTACACACACACACACACACACGCATAGAACGGAAGAAGTGTGGGGCCACATGGAAACATTTTTTTTTACTTAAGTGTTTAAAGTCAGAATTCAAAGAATAAAGTTAGAATTCTGAGTTTAAAGAAGACTAAAAACTAAACTCATAAATCAAATACATCTTCTTCCGTACAGTGTATTTATGGTTGAAAGTGAAGAGATATAGTAATACATTTAATGATGACACAATAACACGTATCTGCTTTGGTGTTGCATGTATTTATATATGAGGTGTTTGTATTTCCTGTAGACACCCCCCCTCCTCCACCTCCCGCGGATCCCTGTGATCAGGTGAAATGTCGTGTGAAGGAACGGTGTGAGAAGGGAAAATGCGTCCATGTTTCTCTGGCAACCTGCCATGCACAAGGTGATCCCCACTACCTGACGTTTGATGGCCGACGCTATAACTTCCAGGTAGGGTTGGGACGGCTTCACCAATCATCACCAGCTATTCACTATAGAGTATATCTCTATTTTTACTTGTTACATTCTATTGAGGCCGCCAGGGACACACTGGAGAGAGACCAACTCTCATGAGTTGAACTTCAACGAGGAGTATCCACATAAAATGTGGCGTAACTCATCTTTGAAAACGCCGCTGTAGAAGCAGTGTTTCTTAACTAGAAAACAAAAGCACAACTGAATTAGGCTTCTAAAGTGTCATTTAGGAGTAGGACAATATGACATGTACAGCGAGCTGATTTATAGGCCATTAGATGGGAGTGCTGCTAAAGCACACACCACACCTAGAAACCAACCGGTTGCAGTACGGCATGAAATTATGAACAATACAATGGCCGACGCCAAAATACACATCACCATGTAGATGTATCTGTGGTGCAGTTTTTGTATACACACACATACATCTGTGACAACACTATGGTCAAAGCTTTTCTTAACTAAATGTTCAAGTGATTATGAGAATGATTATGAGATTAAGGGCGTGTGCACACCAGCCTTCTTTAGTCAAGGTTGAACTGAAGCCTGGAGCGTTTACCCCTTTGGTGCGGTTTGTTTGGCTTGGTGTGAACGACAGACTCAAACTCTGGTGTGGAACAAACAACCACTCTCTGGTCCGCCTCGACGGGTGGTCTTGGACCCCTGTCAAAGTGAACTCTGAATATCCGCTGTGAACACCATTTGAACCAATCACAACAAGCGTACCATTTATGTGTCATTACATTGGATAAAAAGGTTTTCCTTTTCCTGTTTTGGTGACTGCTGAAATGTAGCCTATTTTCGTTTGTGCTACCAGTGTTGTGGAAGTTACTCAGGAAGTGTAATAACATACTGACCTACCACGCGTTCACGTCGTCGTAACATAAGCATACCTTGCACAAAAAAACGAATTGGTTCTGGTAACGCGGCATTACTTAAATCAATTACTGTAATACAATGACGTTTTCGTAAATTGTAATGCCTTACACTACTCGTTACTTGGGAATAATATTACAGTACCAAACACTGTTTACTAACTATGAATGTGATGAATATACTGTTTCTCAGACCACAGATGAGACAATAGTTTGTTAGCTAGCGCATCCCCGAGGTCCTGCTGGCTCACTCTCCGCTGCTAGAAGACTACTTTGATACTAGCGAAGCAACTCTTTTAGAGGGATCCCTGGCCACCAAACAGCTCATTTTCTGTAACCGGTGTAGCACAAAAGCATGGTGGAATTAGCAAGTTAGCTAACAAGCTAAGCGCTAAATGAGTAGAATGTAACATCTTTGCTTCAACCACAAACCCCTGTCACAGCGTAGGAAAGCACATCACACGCGTCAAGGCAACTCTTGAGCCGTACGAGGTGCAGACATCTCCATCATGACATTTGTTAAGAATTTCTGGACCGTTTGAGTTTTGCCTTTGTGAACACGAACCATACCAGTTGGAAAATTTAAAGAATGTATTATCATTGCATTGGCACGATTCAGGAACCGGACTTTAATGTCATGTCATAGCGATACATTGCCTAATCGGACATGCCTCAAAACTTACATCACACCGCGTGGAGCCTTTTTTAAACTGTGTGACATTCAAAGAACTTTCAAGATTGCTGTTACTGCATAGAGCAAATTGCCTTTAATCGGCACTATATCAGGTTTTGTTTTTTAAAAAGTCGTCCTTTTTTCTTTGTGATATGAGGTGCCAAAAATGTTTATAATTGGACTTTCCTTCAGTTGGCCAATCACATTCATCTTTTTT